GGGAGTGGCACCCGCGCGGGCAGCGCCGATTGGCCGCCGCGGGCCCCTCCCCGCCTCCGGAAGCCCCGCCCCCGCGCGGGGAGGGAGGCAGGGCCTGCGCGCGCACGTCCTATTGCGGAAGCCGCTCGGGCCGAGATACGTGATCCGACGTACGTTGGGGCCGCGCGTCGGTCCGGCCGTACAGGGTGGTGCCGCCCGCCGCCTGCCAAGTTCTGCGCCTGCGCAGAAGGCCGCAAGGGCGACCCTGCGGCTCTCTGCGGCGCGGCGGGCGGGGCTGGCGCAGGCCCCAGAGGTCACGTGAGCGGCGGGCGCGGTCACCTGGGGTCGGTGCCTGGCTGCTGGCCTCCGTCGCCGGCGGTCTGCGTGCTGGCGTGCCTGGGCGGACACAGCCTCTGCGTGCGCCGGGACCTGGTCCGACTGGCCCTCGAGGGGCGGACCACGCCCCCTGTCCCCGCGGCGCGGATCATTGTCCGGAGGCCTCGGCGCGCACACGGCCTGGCGAGTCGTCAGGGACTCCCCGGAACCGCGGCCTTGGGAACAGTTCCTGCCCTGGGGTCCGAGTCCTCTGGCTCAGGGCCGTGCTGTGCTGGCCCGACACGGCCCCGGTCACACCCGCCGAGGGGACCCCTGGGCTCAGACCCGGGTCTCAGTGCGTTCCGACCTCCGCCGCCAGGCTCCGCGAGGGCACTGCCCCTTCCCGCGGCCGGCGGTGCCCTCGGCTCTCCTGCCGGGAGTGCTGGACCGACACAGACTCCAACGAGGAGGCTCAGCTCTTCCTCCTGGAAATAGTTTCCTCTCCTCTTGTCTCTTTGAGCATTTAGAAACTGGTCATTATGAATTCTTTATCCTCTCTTTGAAATGTAGATAAATCCTTTTGGAGATTAGCTAGGCCTTGTGTCAGCTTTATGACCTAGAACCTAGAAAAGTCCTTCTCAGGGCCTGGGCGCCGTCTCTCTGAAATGTAAACGTCCGGGGGATAGCGCCCAATTCCCCGTTTCCTGGGAGTGTAGGAGCCTCGCTTCAGTGGGCGCCTTGCTCCAAGTTGCAACACTAAGACTTGTCATAAAGATATGAGAGGTGTGTTTTTCCTCTGGATAACCAATAGCTGACCTAGATGGTCATCCCAATTACCAGGTGGAGTTAGGATGAACTAGGACCGATAGCGCTTTCACGTCCTCTCACTGGAGGACTAGTTACTGTTTATGTTGAGAATATGTACGTAATGGGTTGTACCTCGTTGGCTACAGGAAAGGGTGAGATTTCTTTCTGCCTTTGCCAGCTGCCTGTGATGCGCATCCAATTCTGGTTTAATGCTTACTCAGCAATGAAAGTATTTTATTTCTCTCTTACCTTTGTGGAGAAGATTTCTGGATCGGGAGACTTTAATTGTATTCTCCCAGCAGGAGCAAGCTTCCCACACAAAGTAGGTGCTCAGTCAAGATTTGAAGAATGAATGATAGGCATCTTTGCTTTGGCACACTATCTTTTTATTTGCATCCCATGATTCCAGGAGATTGAAATAAACACAATTTTCACTTGTGGCCCAAAGAAGGTCCAGAATCATTTTTTATTTTATGATTTCGTTTTGCATTACAAAAAGGTGATTTGCTTCCTCGCTTACCTCAGTGCTTGTTAGCCATTTGTATATCTCCTCTGGAGAAATTTCTATTCAGATCCTTTGCCCATTTTTTTTTTTTAGTTGTGTTTTTATTATTGAGTTGTAAGAGTTCTTTTTATGTTCTAGATAAAAGTCCCTTATCAGATAATATAATTTGCAAATATTTCTCCCATCCTGTGGATTGTCTTCATTTTCCTGATGGTGTCTTTTGAAGCACAGCATTTTTAAATTTTGATGAAATCCAATCTATTTTTTCTTTTGCTTTTGGAAACCAGGGCCTAATCCAAGGTCACGATGATTTACACCTGTTTTCTTCTAAAAGTTTTGTAGTTGTAGCTCTTACATTTAGGTCTTTGATCCATTTTGAGTTCATTTTTGTATATGGTGTAAGGTAGGAGTCCCACTTAATTCTTTTGCATGTCATTATCCAGTTGTCCCAGCATCATTCGTTGAAAAGACTGTGATTTCCCATTAAACTGTCTTGGCCTCTTTGTCAAAAACCATCTGACCGTAATGTGAGGGTTTACTTCTGGACTCTCAACTCTAGTCAATCAATTGATCCATACGACTGTCCTTATGTCAGTACCACACTGTCTTAACTATTATGTATATTTTTTCTTAGGTTTTTGATGATCAGTCACTCTTTTTTGGGGGGGTTCTTCCACTGATTGTAAACTCAGAAAATGCTTCTAAATGTAAAGAAGAGAGGAGAGGAAGGGAGAAAGTATAGAGATGATGCCCTGAGAGCCTATCATGTCCAGAAGAGGATACAGACTTGGCTTGGAGATTCCTAATGGCCAAAGAGAAAAAGACTATAAAGCATTGTCTAGTATCTGTTTTGTAGTCTTTTGCCTCTGATCAGCTGGTGAGTGAGACAATCGTCCAGTACACTGGCCGAGGTTTTTGTCTTGTCCAGATTCATGTATTCTGTAGAAAAACAAGATGTTAACTGCAGTGGATAAAAACTTATTTACATGAACAGTGTGTCTAAAAGAAACCAGATAAACATCAGAACGAGATGGTCAGTGATGGCTGCATTACAGATCCTGTGTCCTCTGCGGGGGACTACATGGGTACAGAAGGACTTAAGGAAGCAGGCTAATGAGAGACTCATGGATTCTAGGCCAAAAATGCCACTACTTAACCTGTGATTTGGGGCAAGCACCTCATCTAGTCTGTCAGTATTTGTCTGTCTGAGAGTTCCTGGCACTCTATTTCACCACAGTGTTGGACAAGCTGAAAGAAAGTGTTTTAATGGGTTAGTGGTGCAGGCTCCTTGCTAGCTAGTGTCCAAACAAGGCAGTTCCTTGGTGGGAATCCTAGAACATAGAGATAGGCAAGAAGTCCATGCTCATTTACAGACATCCTGGGTGCAGAGCAGTTGATCTGGGATGGGCACATGGCAGGCTGCTGGAGTGGCCACAGATCTGTTTCTTGACTGACTGGTGGTTATAAGAATGTCTTTTACTAAGATTAACACTTGCCTTGTGTGGTTTTTCTGTATCTGTGTTTTATTTTTCAGTAAAAAGAAAATAAAATTAGGATACAGAAGACACACTCATTCTCTTCTACCAAAGGAACGTGTGCTCAAGGAGTGTACATGTCCCAATGTTGACTGCAGATGTGGCTAAACAGCCAGTTCTCCCTTGGTCTTTTGTTTCCCACATTGTAATAATTAGGGTCACTAAAATCACTAACCAGGTCTCTTCAGTTGCATTATAGCCCCACTTGGCTCCTACAAGCAAAGCAAAAGAAAAGGTATGTGTCACTTTAAATTGCTGATCCTGCCAGGATCCAAAGATCTTTCCCAAGTGAGATTATAGAAACAAAATTTGAGGAATTCTAGCAATAGAGCCAACTATGTAATAACTTGAAAATGTGCTACAAACACATAGAAATGAAAGCTTAAATACAACAAGTATCTTTTCAAATGCATGGCCGAGTTTACAAGAAATTTGGGAAATTTCTAGGGTCCAGAAATGAAGAGTGGGCCCAAAAGCAAATCTGTGAGTGAGTGAGCTGTGGCTGGCCTAGGAAGGGGGTGTGGGTCTGGTCTTAATAGTCCCGGAGTTGGGATTTCCACACCCACACACAGTCTGGAAACAAGGGAGATCACTGCATAAAGCTGAGACCCACAAAGAACCACACCCCCAGTGAAAAAGCAGATTAGGATAAAAAATTTATCCACCAGCACAGAAAATCTAGAAAGTTGTTGGGCTCACCCGGAGCTTAGGGTGTAAAAGTTTTCCCTGAGGATTTATAACTATGGGCCTGCCTGACACATCAAGTTGTGGTGCAAAATTATGCTACCCATGAAAACTGGGAACTCCTTAACTTGCACATTAACCTGGTCTCTGGTCAGAAACATCCCAGGGACACCTGTAGAAGCAGATGCAAAACTGCTCTGGAGGGAGGTACACACTCCCAGCTCAGGCTTCAGAGGGTCCAGCTTACCACAGATGAACTCACAATTCAAAACTGGAAAACAGAAGAAGAAGAGGCTTGCATGAGAGCGAGGAGGCCAGCAGTGTAACAAACAGCAGGTTAGACCCCTAAGAACTTCAGTAAAACTCTCAGCTTATAAAATAAAAATGTTTATATTATTTAAAACAAGAGAAGGACTTAAACATATTAGAAAGAATAAGGAGCAAGCAGATATGAAAAAGGACTAAATAAAACTTCTGAAAATTAAAATATACTCACTGAAATTAAAAGCTCCATTGATAGTAGTTTAGGCACAGCTGAAGAATTACTGGATTGGAAATAGAACCGAGGAAATTGCCAAGAATGCAATAGAGACGTAGGATGGGAAATATGAAAGAGAGGTTAAGAAAGAGCAGAGAATAAGAAAGTCTAACAGACAGTCATGCATTGCTTAATGACAGGGCTGTGTTCTGAGAAATGCATCATTAGCCGATTTCATCATTGTGCGAACATCATAGAGTGCACTTACAGAAACCTAGATGTTGTAGCCTGCTACACACCTAGGCTACATGGTGCTAATCTTATGGGACCACCGTGGTATATGTGATTCGTTGTTGACTGAAATGTCGTTATGTGGCACATGACTGTAATAGGAGTTCAAGAAGGAAAAAGAGACTGAGAAGCAATATTCAAAGAGATAATGGCTGATAATTTTCCAGAATTGAATAAAGAAATTCTGAGATTTGGGAAGGATAAATAAAAATAAATTCACATCTCACACAATGTAATGAAATTGCAGAATATCAGAACCAAAGAGATCTTTAAATTATCCAGAGATAGACCAGAGGAAATTGATTAAAATTCTCCAAGGAACATGAAAGGAAATATGTGATCTGTACATAAGATTTGTGAGGAGGGCCGACAGGTAAAGAAAAGAACATAGGCATCCATAAATTCAGCAGCAGAAATACTGAAGAGCAAGTAGCGGGTTTCTTTATAGAAATAATACGGATGAATTACACAGAAAAACAAAATCCTCATTTAAGAACGGAGATTTTTCTTGCTCTCAATTTTTCTAGTCTCTGGTCTTATCCCAGGTGTGATGGTTAGTTTTTTGTCAACTTGACTGGCCTAAGGGATGCCCAGATAGCTGGTAAGATATTATTTCTAGGTGTATCTGTGAGGCTGTTTCTGGAAGAGATTAGCATTTGGTTCAATAGACTGAGGAGAGAGAAATGCCCTCCCCAATGTGGGCCGCATCATCCAATCCTATGGGGGCCCGAATGAAACAAAGAGGCAAAGGAAGGGCAAATTCTTTTCTTGAGCTGTGATGTTAATCTTTTCCTGCCCTTGGACATCGGAGCTCCTGGTTCTGAGGCCTTTGCACTTGGACTGCATTATACCACCCATTTTCCTG